GGGAACATGGAGTAGGCCATGGCGCGAGAACGATGAACGAGGTGGGATTTTCGGATAGTTACAGCCGCCCACGCGAGTATGATATATCCACCCCACCGGCAAAACTTTAAACTGTACCTGAACTCCTAGCTAAACTCCACAGGGGCAGTATGGGCAACAAGACTCGAATTTGTTGCAATCGCACCTACAGGAAAAACATTTCAACGCCAAGGCCGATGTCGCCGGGAAAGGGGGTCGATTTCGAACGTTAGATTGTTGCGATAGAGGCGCTCCTGAGTGCTGAAGCTGGAACGCGAGACAAAGTAGCCAGGGACGACGATTCGTAGTCCGGGACAGTGCAGCTAACAGAGTGTATGGAAGGTGGCGACACACTGCAGAGCCCAAATCTCAAAGAACGCCGCATGACTGGGACTTGTAGGCGAGTCGAAGGGATTCAGGTTTGATTCGGACGTGGTGGTTTGAAGCAAAGGAGACACCGTGGGAAAATCAATTATAGCCGAAAGCTTGCCGTCCGATGTTCGCGTCCTAGTTCTAGTTCTTCCTACACCTGCCTCACCGCTTCGTTTTAATCAATACTGACTGGCGAACCGATTCGAAAACTCAATTGTCAGTGTTATCTCAGCCAAATCCCTCGCGATCGGCCACACCTTGGTGTGGGATCGCGTTTTTCGGAATGTGCAACCGATCTGGAGAATTTGTCCCGGAACTACTATTCTTCCCTCTGCCTTAGTTCGAGATTCGATCCGCTCCATCCGATATTGCTAAACGATTCTGCTGATTGTCCCGCCGGAAGTCTCTTGTGCACACGAGTCCGCATTCAGTCCGCACTTTCCGCCCTTACCATGGGTTCGCAGGTGGCATGCGGATTTATTTCCTCGCGTTCATCGCTCACAGATATCGATCGGGTTTCCGACCCCGCGGACGTTGCCACGTATCGTGGTACAGATCTGAGCGGAGACCTCGGGCACGGTGCACGGCTTGGCACCCCTGTTTGAAATTTGTCATCTCCCTGCACTTTACCTTGGGTTCGACTGCCAGCATCCGAATGCGCCAAGACCTGGTGAAAATTTTCTTCCATCCTCTTCTGTGCATTGGAACTTTGTTTTCCTGGTTACTCGGCAGGCGGGTTAGCCTACTCATGTCATCCGACCGCGATCTGGCACATCAGGAAAATGTTTTCACTCTGGCCCGTCTGGCGGGTCTGGCGGGTCTGGCGGATCTGGCGGAAATTTGCCAGACTGCCAAAATCATTGCCAGATTTTGCCAGTTTTGAGATTTACATTGATTTTGGGGTGTTGTGCCTCCGACTTGGGAATCACTTGGGAATGCACTGATGACTGACCATTTTCAAGCTTGTGAGTAAAGTTTGAAATTCGAGACGAGAGACGTCAAAATTTCTCACAAGGCATTCAAACTCCGACAGCCACGTGCATCAATATGGCGTGATTTGATGGTCAACCAACGCCGTGACTGCCACGTCGCTTCCTCTTTCCCTCCATGTCGCAACACCCCCGTCGTCTCCCGCTGTCCTCAAATCCCCTCCAATGTGCTCAATACCTCGAGAATGTTGCCAAACATCTTCCTCGGGCTCTGATAGGATCTTGAGCCTCTTCAGCAAGATCTTGAATTCAATGGCTTTTGTGCCACAGCTCTTCGGCCTCAAGTACTCCTCAGTCCTCTCAAATCCTCTCAAGCCTTTCCTCAAGCCCTCCCTCAAGCCCTCCCTCAAGTCCTCCCTCAGGCCCTCCCTCAAGCCCTTCAAGCAGTGACTGGTGTTCTCCGCACTTCGCATCCACATCCATGGCATGTGGTTTGTACATTTGTTCATTCGTTCGTTACTTGTGGTGTAGACTAATGGGTTCCCTCCTCCAGATGACTCCGCCTACTTCAAAGTTACCACCCCGTACCATTGTCGCGTCGTTTCCAGAAATAAGGTACGTTAACCTTTTCTGTTGTTGTTTGGATCCTGCTGACTTTCGAAGCAGCTTCTCATGTCTGTCGCCTTCTCTTCGGCCCCTGCCGTCATGTCACTTTCAGTCGATCGACGGCGTCGAGGAAGAGCGGGATACGGGTGGCGTGGAAGGGCTACAGGATGCGTGCGGTTCAGACTCTCATGTACATCTATACATACAGTACATGATAATATATATATACTGTCCTCTTTCATCCGTGCAGTGGCCTGAATACCTGTAATATAGTGGAAAAGAAATGGCGGCATATTATGATCCCAGAGCACATTCTGGTTCCAGAATGTGTTCTGGCATCGGCTATCTTTTTATGTTGCCAGACCTGATTCTGGCGAGCTGGCGGCTCTGGTAGGTCTGGTGCCAGGGCTGCCAGACTGAAAACATTTTCCTGATGCAGTGCCTTCCTTTTCGCCACGTGCATCTCTCCTCTGTCAGCATGCTCTTCATTTCTAATATTTCTTGAAATATTCTTCTCGGCATTTGAATCTCATCCGGGGTAGGATTCTCTACACGAACTGTGTATTCACTCGTTATGGTTCATACCCTTAGTCTCATTCTCCAGCCATCCACTCCGCAACCACTGTTCATACATCAGTAAAACAACACATTTGTCTTTGACGTCTTAGGTCTTTGACACCCGTCTTTCGCCGTCTTAGTCTTGGGAGGGGCATCTTAAGTCTTTGGAGCCACATCTTTGGGTGTCTTTGGTCTTGGGGTTGAGATCTTTGTCTTTGGCAACTATCTTTTCACTGTCAGTTTTTTTTTCTGTAAATAAAATTTCCACAGGTGGGATTGAAGTTCAAAATGTTCAGGAACTTGGATCCAATGGTCGAGGAATGATTAATGAAACATACCATTTGTGAACAGGGAGGGACGGAGCGCATTTGCTGAAATCAAGACAAAACCCGGCGAAGGCCAGTCAACGAGGATCAATCAATTTGAGGCAGAGTCCTGACTCGAAGTTTTGAGGGAAAAGAAAACTTAGTGAGAGATTCAATTCGTTTACTTACCTACCTACGTTGCAATTGACTTAGCCCGAATAAATCGGAGACGTCGCCAAGTGCTTGACCAAAATGATGGTAACCAGATTGCGTGCTTTGATGGCATCAAATGGTTGGTTGCTCTCTCCCTCCATCGTCTCCCTTCCTCCCTCCCTCCTCCTAGCGCGGCGCCTCCTCTCCAGGATTTCAAGTACAGACTCAAGACGTTCAAGATTCTAATTCAAGCCCTACGCTCTTGCTGCCTGCTGTCTCCTTGCTTGTGGCTCGCTGTATCGTATGCTCCTCCTCGACGTCGAACGTCGGAAACCCCTTCCGCGCTGCGTCGCGTGCCTATGGCTTGCCTCCCGCGCTGCGTCGCATCTTCTGCCGCCTGTGGCTTTCCTTCCTGCGCTGCGTCGCATTTGCCGCTTGTGGCGTCGGAGTTGTCGTTTGCTAATGTCTCCTTTTTTTATCCTATAGGTCATCGTTCCTCAGCACTTCTCCCACGATACACGGCACAGAGGCCTGCATGTTTGTAGCTGGTGAGTCTAGATGGTTATCCCACGCATCTCGATAGTAACTGCCTCGTATCTCTAGCTCTTCCGCCCACCGTGTTGCCTGTTTGAGTTGCATCCCGAATCCCTGATCAACCCTACCATCTTCCCGCTACTCGAATTTTCAAGTCATGGCATCCGAGCGCCACGCCCGACGCCTCCGACACCTCCTGGTGACATCCGAGTCCGCGCGGGCAATACGGCGTCGGTAACTTTCTCGGTGCTGTGTCATATCTTTCCCTACATACTTGTACTTGTCGAAGGCCCCAATATAATATTTTATCTCTCCATTGTGTGTGTCTTTAAGACTTTGGGCTATCTTTGAGGCTATCTTTGAGGTATTCTTGAGCAAGATTAATTGCATCTTTGAGGTCTTGCCAAAGACGCCCATCTTGGAAAGACTTTTGAACCTACTTGCCAAAGACGCATCGTCTTTAGCAAAATTGTGTCTTTCACGTCTTTCACGTCTTGCCCAAGACGTCAAAGACGTCAAAGACAAACGTGTTGTTTTACTGATGTAATTGTATCTCTCCTTCCGAGTCAGTCCGTTTACTCGCCAGAATGAACCCTTCATCACAGATGGTCACCTCCTTGCCAGAGCGGACGGACTCCGAGTGCATCCACGTTGCTGGGTTCGGATATCTCACTGGATAACGCGTCGTAAATTTCCCACTTCTTCCTTTGGGTGGAATATTTCCTATCTCACAGCCATCGTTCTCCGACAGATATTTTGGTGCTTATTGTTCCTTGCACTGCGGAAGTGGTGCATGGTGCACCCCTATTCTCACTTGAAAGACATATTGAAAATACTTCACAGGTGACTGGGTTCGACTCCCAACGTCTGAATGGCTTTCCGTTTCGCCGTTTTTACCTCTCGGTTTTCACTTTCCCCCCCTCTCGATTAGGTTACTCCATAGGTGGGTGGGTATGCCGCTGGCTCATCCAACATTCGTTCACTTTCATCCAATCAGCTCCGGCCAGTATCCTGGTGCACAATGAAGTCGGTATTGAACTTTTATCGCTTTGTTCCAAGTTCTGAACCGCCGCATATACTCCAATGTACATCTTTTCTGATACCTCGGACGTGGTGCGTGGCGCACGCCTGCCCCTTTATAACGAGGCAAAGAAGTTCTAGACGGCAGGAAACCCCGGGTTCGACTCCCGGCGTCTGAATAACAGCCAATGAAAAGCCCTTTTTTTCATACATGTTTCTGCGTTCTGAATCCATCCGCTGGTGATTCTGTATTTTCGATGAGTTGTCCGGTGTCGAGCCGCTGATTTTTGGATTATGATGCTCTCCGCCGTCAACGGATGACGCTGCCTTGAGCTCGCGCAAACAGCTCGGTAGTGGGGATAGCAAGTGCCAGTTTACATTCGCGTTGTTTTTGGTACTTATGCTCCCGCTCAATAATGGGTGCATTCGGCCTCCCCACCCTCGACCACCCATCTCGCCTTGCATCTCCACCGCGGATATCAGGGAGCAGATCCAGAGTAAATATTCGGACGTGGTGCATGGCGCACGCTTGCCTTAAATCAAGGAGGAAAGAGAGTAGATTAGAGGCAAGAACCCCGGGTTCGACTCCCGGCGTCTGAATCGCCGCGAGCAACAAAATCTTTTTCTTTACGTATCTGGGTCCCGAATCCATCTATCTGCTGGTGATCCTGCTCGAATATTCGGTAAGTTGTCCGGTGTCAAACTACTGATAACTACTGATTTTTGTATTAGATTGTTTCCCTTCCCCCGCCGTCAATGTATGACGCGGATTTGAGCTCACGCAAACAGCTCGGGATTCGCCCAGGCACCAGTTTACATTCGCGTTATTCGTACTTATGCGTCGCCCGCTCAATAATGGTCGCGCACCCGACCCTGCTAACCTCTCGCCTTGCCTTCCGTTTCCACCGCGGACATATCCAGAATAAGCATTTGGACGTAGTGCACGGCGCACGCCTGCCTTAATTGCAGGAAGAATGCGACAAATTAGGAGGCAGGAAACCTGGGTTCGACTCCCGGCGTCCGAATGTGACTGGATTCCAAAATACCTTTTTCTGTTCTTTCTTCCGGTGTCGAACCACTGATTTTGGATCAGGATGCTCTCCTTCCTCCCCCCCGCTGTCAATGGAACACACACTGCCTTGAGTTCACGCAAACAGCTCTGGAGTTGAGATAGGCAAGTGCGAGTTTGCATTCGCGTTGTTCGTAGCCCAACCCCCATTTGCCTTGGAATTCCACCGCGGCTACTTATAAGGGTGCAAATCCAGAGTAGTACTCGGACGTGGTGCACGGCGCATGCTTGCCCTTAATTGGGCGCCAGAGACAGTTGGGAGGCAGGAAACCCGGGTTCGACTCCCGGCGTCTGAACTGCGCCTACTATCCACAGTCACATATTTTACCTCTTCTGTCTTTTTTTACCAGGTACATGTAGTCACTCTTTTGCAATATGCATACGTCGCAGAAAAAGTATATGAACATTCGGTCGGATTACACGTATAACTTCAATGGTACACTGTATTTGATTTGGCTTTCTAGCCTTCGCGCGCGATTGGCAGCAAGAGGGATAGATTGAGGTATATTATAAAGGGAAACAGCGTACGCAGAAACACCAAGCAAAATTCGGTGATCCAGTCAACGGTCTCAGTGATATCAAGATTGGACTCGAGCTTGGGTAACAGAGAATTATAAGAAATCGCTCATCTCCCGCGGTTGGCAGCAGGAGGGATACTATTATAAACAGTTTCCGCGCATCGTACGCAGAAACTGCAAGAAAATTCTGTGATTCAGTCAACCGTCTGAGATTGGAGAGCTCGGGTAACAGGGAATTACAAGGAATTACAAGAAAACAAACACAAATCCCCCCACCCACTCTCGGGCGCCCGTCGGAATTGAATAGCACTCGCAGCCCGTCGAAGTTTGCGCGTCCACCCCCACAGCTCATATGAGTCAAATGAAGCCTGTGCTATGAATGAGGTTCGGGCATGGGAATGGGAGGGAGAGTCACGGAGGTGTGGGATGAGCAACGATGCGAAGTGCGTGCAAATCCGCACCGCAGACACAGGTTCGACATCCTTGACAATACGCAGGACGAGGTCCGAGGTCGTTCAGCTTACGAGTTCGAACCATATGTACGGAGGCGGAGCTTATTCGAAGATAAATACATCATTACGGGTTTCGGCCAGCCTGAGGGTCAGGCTGCGGAGGCAGACATACATACGTACTGATGAAGGGCGTGCGCACCGTTATATCGTTCGCACCGGGGTTGACAAATAGCCGCCAGAGCATGCGCCACGCCAGCCCGCCGGCGCTATCAACGACCACGAGCATCCTGCTCCACGAGTTGGGAATAGCTACTGCAGTGCATACTTGCTCTGATCAAGATGCGGGGTGAGGTGACGGCAGCGGTCCAGCAGCACGGAGGAAACGAGCGCGTCGGCAAGGAGTTGCGCGGCCAACGGTGCATAGGTCTTTAGGGCCGCGATGTAGAGGAGAGCGCTCAGGGGAGGCGCAAGAAAGTCGCCGCCGGTACGGGGGCTGGCAGAAACCGGAGCGGGAAACGATGTGGTGAGGAATAGGCAACATCAAGCCAGTTGCCGTACCTGCAACAAAGCAAGGGCGGCGCATTTCTTCATTATTGAGGGAGACATAACTGTTGAAGTGCATCTTGTTGATATCGAGCGTCGTTAGTTCAAGGCGCCGCCGGTTAACGTGGCTGGAGTTCAAGCGCCGTCGAGCGGAAATCACAGCGTGTGGCTTACGCTCCAGGACGGTTTGTAGGTGTTGAATGTAGGATAGGGGAGATGCGCATTCTGAGAAATGTGTCGTTGAACCCGTGGTTTAAACAGCCAAAACGGCGAGAGCAGTTGGATGTTCCAGATCAGAGAGCAAAGTATTTGTCATCCGCTTAAAGCCGGTAAACCCGATCCCGGTCCGGTCGCCCGAAACCCTCTCTTCCAGCGACATCCAAGCCGCCTCATTGAACGCGCTCCCCTACGGCAACACCTCTCTTGCTTGGTTCATTTACGCGATCATCACTTTCATTCGTTGCATATAAGATGTTCTGCGGCAATCCTTTTGACTTCCAGGAGTCCTCAGCACTGGCAGTGTCGGCACTTGGTCCGCTGCCAAAACTTGCGAAATTTTGCGTCTATGCTCCCCTTTCTGGCGGGTACTTCTGGATTCCTGGAGTCTACCTTTCGAATTTTCAACTCCCATGGTCCCGCGTCGTTTCTCCCATTAGGCCGGCATTGATTGATATTAATTTACTACGGTCTCGCTCAAACGTCCATCCAGTGAAGATTCGAGCAAGAAAATTGGAATTGGTGCATGGTGCACTCCACTGCAACTTCTTGGTTCGAGTAGCAGGATCTGGGTTCGAATCCCAGTGTCTAAGTATAGCGGATCCGATATAAATCCATTTTTTTCTTCGGAAGTATCCCAATCTGGCTCCTCGCATCCTTGGTTCGCTGATAATCGTGAGTCCTGTCTGTTCCTCGAATTGATTTTCCCATACTCACAGATGTGCGGCCCATATCTCCAAACGCCCCGTGACTCGTTTATTTCCGCGCAAGCATATTCACATCCAGATGCACGTCAATGTGTTCAATTCGGACGTGGTACATGCTGTATCCCAGCTCCCAGTTGTGCGGCTTGAAAAGTGCCAGCAGGTACCCGGGTTCGACTCCCGACGTCTGTATGTTCGGTCTGTAAGTAACTTTTTCTCGTCCTTTTCCTTTTACTAATGCGATGCCGGATTTCCGATCCCCCAGCTCCCGACTCACCTCTCCTCGCGTTCTGCTCCGTCTTCTCGTCGAGTGTAAGTACGGAACTCTTGCGCTTCCACTTCGCTACCGCTGAATCCTGCTCATTTTCCTCGCTCATATCCGGCGGCACATAAGTATGGGTACCTCGGACGTAGTGCACGCCGCGCGCACTCCTGCTACCAACAACTGAATCCACGTACGGTAGGCGTGTGACCTGGGTTCGACTCCCGGCGTCTGGGTGACCAGGGTAACAAGTGCTTTTTTTTCAGCTTCCTGGTGACGCGAGGTACATTCATTCCCAGCTCGCGACAAATGACGTGTGCAGAGGCGGGTGGTCCCGCGTCTGAACTTCCGTCCACAGGTTATGTATGATTTGCCTTTTTCTCGCTCCCTTTTGCTATCAAGTGTTTTCTCCTTTCGCGCACGCTGATTCATTGCCACAGATAGTCCTCCCCCCAGTGAGAGGCGTATGTAGTGCTTCCTGCCAGTGCTGTGCTTTCAAGTTGCGCAATTCATCAGATGAGCTGGGTTCGACTCTCACCGTCTGATTCCCAAGTTTCCCTCTACCCTTTTACTTCGGTGACTTCGAATACAGGTAGCACGCGATATGCTGCAACAATCGACGCGGCGTCCAATCTGGTGATGCTCGTTTATTCTCGACCTTTCTTGAGGCTTGGACTTCATTTCTTACACTCTTACTCGGCTCATGTGACGGTTCTTGCGCCGATTTGAGGATTCCCACTCGCGCTAACACCTCGGACGTCGTGCACGGTGCGGCCTTCTTGCGATTGCTTAATTTTATGTAACAGCAATTGTAGCGGAAAAAGCAGATGAATCCCGCTACTTATAGCGGGTTTTTTGGGGGAGGTCAAAATGGCAGTCATATGCGTCTGCGCCTGAATCACTCGTAAAGTTAGAATATTCTCTCGCTCACGGCCATCGTTCTTCGACAGATAGTTTGGTGCATATCATCCCTTGCACGTCAGACGTGGTGCTGGTGCACCCCTGCTCTCACTTGATACTGACAGTTGTACTGAAAAATGTTTCAGCAGGTGACCTGGGTTCGACTCCCAATATCTGAATCGTGCTTTCTCTTTCACTTTTTTCCCTTCTCGGTTTGATTCCTTCAATTCAGCGCCGGTCATTATTCTGGTGCACAATGACGTTGGTCTTGATTTTTTATCGCTTTGTTCCAAGTTCTGAACCGCTGCATATACTCCAGTGTACATCTTTTCTGGTACCTCAGATATGGTGCGCCGTGCATGCCTGCCCCTTTATTATAACCTCAGCTATTAAGGACGGCAGGAAACCCTGGGTCCGACTCCCGGCGTCTGAATGTGGCAGGTACTTGAACCCTTTTTCTTTTCATATCTGCGTTCCAAATTTATCGGGTGGTGATCTTGTATATCCGATGAGTTGTCCCGCGCTGATTTTTGTGTTAGGATGCTCTCCTGTCAATGGATGACGCGGACTTGAGCTCACTCAGACAACTCGGGATTCGTTCGACCCTTCCATTTCCACCCCAGCTATTGGGGTGCAGATCCAGAGTAAGTACTCGGACGTGGTGCACGGCGCACGCTTGCCCTAATTATACCGACAGAATATAAGCAGGGAGGCATGAAACCCGGGTTCGACTCCCGGCGTCTGAATGAGGGAAGAAGGACTTTTTTCTTTCCATATTTGCGTTCCAAATTCATCGGGCGGTGATCCTATATATCCAGTGAGTTGTCCGGCGCTAATTTTTGGATTCGGATGCGCTCCTCCCTCCCCCGCCTTCAATGTATGACGCGGACTTGAGCTCACGCAAAAAGCTCGGGATTCAATATACACAAGCAGGTCCCAGTTTACATTCGAGTTATTCGTACTTATGTGTCGCCCGCTCAATAGTGATCGCATTCTCCCCGCACCCGACCCTGCTAACCTCTCGCCTTGCCTTCCATTTCCACCGCGGATATCAGGGTGCATATCCAGAGTAAGTACTCGGACATGGTGCACGACGCACGCCTGCCTTAATTCGACGGAAGAGAGATCAAAATAGGAGGCAGGAAACCCGGGTTCGACTCCCGGCGTCTGAATGGTAACTCGTCGATACACCTTTTTTTCTCATACATGTATCTGCTTTCTGATTTGTCCTCGGAGGAGCCGCTTACTTTTGGATCAGGATACTATCCTGTCAATGACGCGGACTTAAGCTCACGCAGACAGCCCGGGATTCGTTCGACGCTTCCCTTTCCACCCCGGATATCAAGATCCGGAGTAGATGTGGTGCACGGCGCACGCCTGCCTTAATTGCAGGAAGAATGCGACAAATTAGGAGGCAGGAAACCCGGGTTCGACTCCCGGCGTCTGAATTCTGAATAGCTCCGTCATCTCATATTTTACTTCTCTATCTTTTTTGCCAATCTCATGCAATTTATATACATCACAGAAAAGTCTGAGTATTGAGTCGGATTACATGTATAACTTCAATGGTACGCTGTATTTGATTTGGCTTTCTAGCCTTCGCCGCGAGGGGGCAGGAGAAGGGATAGATAGAGGTGTATCATAAAAAGCTGCTTACGCGCGGTGTGCGTAGGTCTAAATTGCACGGATAAACCTAAGTCGCTCATATCCTCTCGGGCGCCCATCGGCACCGAAAAGCAGCCGCAGCCCGTCGTGGTTTGCGCGTCTGCGGCGTCGCGCGTCCACCGCCACGGCTCATATGAGTCGAATGAAGCCTGTGTTTTGAATGGGGAGAGTCGCAGAGAAATGCCAGGAGGGAGAGTCACGGAGGTGTGGGACGAGCGACGATGCGAATTGCGGGCAAATCCGCAATGCAGACACAGGTTCGACATCATTGACAATACGCAGGACGAGGTCCGAAGTCGTTCAGCTTACGAGTTCTAACCATATATGTACAGGGGCGGAGCTTATTCGAAGATAAATACATCATTACGGGTTTTGGCCAGCCTGAGGGTCAGGCTGCGGAGGCAGACATACATACGTACTGATGAAGGGCGTGCGCACCGTTATATCGTTCGCACCGGGGTTGACAAATAGCCAGAGCACGCGCCACGCCAGCCCGCCGGCGCTATCAACGACCACGAGCATCCTGCTCCACGAGTTGGGAATAGCTACTGCAGTGCATACTTGCTCTGATCAAGATGCGGGGTGAGGTGGCGGCAGCGGTCCAGCAGCACGGAGGAAACGAGCGCGTCGGCAAGGAGTTGCGCGGCCAACGGTGCATCGGTCTTGAGGGCCGCGATGTAGAGGAAGGGAAGCGCCCAGGGGACGCGCAAGAAGGTCGCAGGTCGCCGCCGGTAAGGGGGTTGGCACCTGCAGAGGAGGCGAGGCGCATGTGTATAGCTCCAGCTGTGGGGCCGATGGGGTGGCGCGTGGTCATAGAGGAAAGCGGAGGCATGGGCCAGGAAACGATGCTGCGAGGAATATGTAGGCGAAACATCAAGCCAGCTGCCGTACCTGTAACAAAACGAAGGAGGTGCCTTTGTGCGTCCAATGTTGAGGGAGATAAAACTGTTGAAGTCCATCTTGTTGATATCGACCCTCGTTAGTTCACGGCGCCGCTAGTTAGCAACGTGGCTGGAGTTGTAGCGCTGTCCAGCAGAAATCACAATGCGTAGTTTACGCTCCAGGAGGACTTTCAGGTACCGGAGTGTATTAGAGGACAAGCTTCGAGAACAAGCAGCCAAACCGGCGAGAGCAGGTGGGGCGTTCCACAGCACGAGCAAAATATTTGTCATCCGCATTGCATCAAAGCCGGTAAAGCCGATCCCGGTCCGATCACCCGACACCCTCTCTTCCAGCGACATCCAAGCCGCCTCACTGAACGCGCTCCTCTGTGGCAACACCTCTTCCTTGGTTTCTTTGCACAACTAACACTCTCGGCCTTTGCCTATAAGAGGTTCTGCGGCGATATTATTGTGGTCGGTTGCCAGCACTTTGGAAACTTCTTCATTTCAAGTGCGAGTCGGAGTTGCGTCCATGCTCCCCTTTCCCACGGGTGCTTCTGGATTCCTACAGTCGAATGTTCAACTCCCATGGTATTGACCCCCCGCGGTGCCTCTCACATTCGGCCATTAATAATAATAATAATCATTTACTAAGGTATATGGAAAGCCAGAGCACCACGCTCGTTTGATGGCCGGCGCTTGCCCGACAGGGCAGTCGGACTGATGACACCCATCCGTTATCAGCTGAGTAGGAGCATCGCTGAAAGTCCAACTGGATATAAGTGGTGTATTAAGTACTTGCTAGAACATTCAGGGGATAAAGACAAGACCTTCTTCGGGACCACTCGGCCTGAAGCACGGACCGATGTCACGTGATCGTATATGCCTCCCGTTCAACTCGCGTACGACGCGTCTTCATCAGCTCACTGACGCGTCTAAGATATTCCAATACGTGTCATTAGTCTGTATAGTGACACTGAACTCCACTGAAGTGTGTCTGTGGGATATGGGCCCTCAATTGGCACAAAGTGAATTCCACTTATGACCCTCCTTTTCTTGGCGGCACATTATGAGAGCACTTCTAGAAGTTAGCTTGAACCACATGGAAGGGCCTATCCCTTCCGATCTCATTTCCCCAAGGATGCCTGGACTTTTTTTTCTTAATGCAAGGACACATGTCTGACATGCCCATCGCTCAGTCGACCGTAATGTCAGCATTTTTCTCACGCCAAGATGCACCATCGAGTGCATCAAAATTTGCACAATACTCAAAGGGTCTGGTGTGACTACATGATTTCTGAATAGAGCAGGTGTCTACATACATCTTGTTATTATCTGAACACTACATATTCTGCTCGGGTTCATCCTCTTCATCGGAGAACCAAGCCATCAGTTGATCCCCCTCCTCTAAATCAGCTTCGCCCTCAGGCAAGGGCTCGTCATGGTTGGTCATTTCATCAAGTTTGGAGGCCTGTTCCTCGTCTTAAATATGGACTGAGTACCAGCCCATGAAATGAGAGATTGAACTCACTCAATCCTAGTCCATTATTAACGCCACCCATATACTTCAAACCTTGTAGCCCAACAACATCAGAGCCATTGTGGAGAGGCGACAAGTTGGGAATCAGTGCAATATCATCCTGGTAATCATCTCGCGCCATTGTCAATGTATACCCCCAATGTTCATCTAGCTCTGCCGGAACTCGATGCATGTTGTCCAGGTGTTGGAATCGAGTTAGAATGCCCATATATATATCCCATACATTTGTTCGAAGGACTGGGGGCTGACCCATTTGAGTGTAAAATTCAGCAGCCAGTTGAGCGAAATCCGGGGGGACCAGTTCAAAGACCTCATGGTCGGGAGGTGCATACAAGTTCCGAACATAGACCACCGAATCCGGATCAACTTTGACCTGAGTTCCAAGCACTGAGCAGTGGGACAAGTGAAATAGGTCGGACAGACCTTGAAATCTAAGATTCCAAACTCCTCGGGAGCTTCACGCATGTGACTGGGGACACCATGAGGGAGCACTTTGTTTTTGTCAGCACGCTTGGCGGTATTGTTGACACGTTCTCTGTAGGCATCGAGTTCCTTCTGCAACCATGGGATAAATACCCATCGAAAGACAAGACTTCATGTACCGTGAATAAGCGAATGATTGGGATGGAGAATTATTTGGAACGTACGCCTGCAGAAGATTGCTTGGATCATACCAGCCATTATTGACCCCAATGTCGAGGATGTCTTCAAATCCAGGTGTCCACCGGCGTCGTAGTTGAGACCAGCCGATCTCTGGCATAACATTTTTCTTTTCATTCATCCAGCGGTGTTGAAGTGTGCCTTTAAGGCTAGGATCATGCCAGTGCCGTAGAAGGGTGTGCCCGTTTGCCAGTCCGAAGTTTTCGACACCCGGATCGCTTTGAGAAACAAGCGGCATGTCTACCAACTTCAGATTGAATCAAGGTAAGTCAAGATTTGGACTCACATCCGGATTGCTCCACCTCATTGAGATAGTAGCTGAGGATGAGGCGAGGATTACTGTTTGTCCACCAGATTTTCAACCAGTGAATATAGCCGTAGAACGGGTCGAGGCCGGAGTGAAGCGCCAGGCCATACTTGTACTTCCACTTGTCATGCTGATCTACGCACCACATATCATTACCCCCGGCTGCCCAGAAGCGTTTGCGCTTCAGACGATTTGCTCGGCGTTGGCGGACTAACTCTGGCTCGTATATGGCAAAGTAAGATCTTATAACGCTCCTGTAAAATGTCAGATAATTCAAGCGTTCAAAATTGAAAAGAAGCTACTATGTACCGTGGCACACTCATATTTTCCTCGTGAAAGAGGAGGCCACTGATCTCTCGCTGGCCCGCTTTAGGATATTGCACCCGTAATCGAAGCATCGCCTCCCGTATTGTCTCTATATTATGGCCCTGCTTCCTAGACCTAAAAAGACCCATCCCTTCACGAATTTCGCGAAAGCGAGTAAGTCTCTCCCCCCATCAGCGATATAGTCTGCACGAGATAGTCAACACAAACCCGATGCCATATCTAGTGCCATTGAGATGCCTGGTCCTCAACAGTTCCAAGATCTGCTTGTCATTTTTCTGCATTTTCCAATATCGCATGATATGGGATCCAATAAGGCTCAAGGGTGCTACAGTGCGTTCATGATCAGCTGTTTTAAAGCCTCAATCA